TAGTGATTTTTACATATTTTCTTGTGTGCTTCTGTCATTACACTTCTTGCAATCTTATGACCTTTATCATCTACAAAGTGAGTGTAGACATCAACTACCAAATCCCATAAATCCGAGTCATATGCCAGAAAATAACTTTCTATTTTATCCTTCCAATAGTCAAATTTATCCCCATCAAACATAGGAGGTTTTGAACTATATTGATCTCTATCATTATCCCTATTATCAACAGTGGAAGTAAATTTAGCCATTGGTTTTTCACACACACTGGACCGATACTAGACACTATTAAGTGTTGATAAAAATTCAAACTTTTTATCTCCTCAGAACCGGAGCTCTGACGCCAATTGAATGTGTGAAAAACACAAGAAATTGGGGTTTTAATTAGGTTTTAAAATAAAAACTTTTCTTTAAAAATATTCCCCTTTAAGTTAAAATCCTTTTAATCTTCACTCTTGATAATAACAATAAGTAAGAACACGAAGGAAAAAGCAATGTATGTTTATAATAGTTCACTTGAAAATTATCAAGTTAGTCTAGTCCACCCGCTAAGGTGATTTCTCCTCACTCAATCGAGGACTTAATTCACTATAACTAAACTGATTACAATTTGAACAAGCTACCCGCAAGTGACTAACAACTTCTAAGACTCGCAAGTCAAAGACTTCTTAAGGCTACAGACCTACCCGGTCCCTTAAGGAATATCAAACAATAATCAACCTGATTATTATAATGCACAAGCTACCCGCAAGTGACTAACAACCTCTAAAACTAGCAATTCCTAGAATTCTTAAAAATACAAACCTACTCGATCCCTTAAGGAATATCAAACAACTGTTTGAATACAAGTTTTGTTTACAAGAGTATTACTTCAAAAAAGCTGAATATGTAAACTAATTTAAGAACAGAGACTTAAGAATATGAAAGCTATGAACAATGTTTGTGCGTGGTTATTCAGTGAATTGGAAGCTTTCTCTCTTATTCTTCAAGCCTTTCTATAGCCAATAAAATAATATATTTGTTGTGGGATACTCTTGGGATTTCTAGAAACATTGGCAGCTTAAACAGTAACGCGGGGGACAAGATCGTGCAATGCGTCCGTCCTTTCATGGTAGTGGAATGAAGCGTTAATTGTACCATGTACTATTTATAACATTTTAAAGTTATCTTCTTTCCTTCTACACTTCATAGGCTTTTGCGAAAATGAGTTTAGCAGAGAGAACATAACATAAGTTCATCAGAACTTCAAGTCTTCAGAGTCTTCAGAACATGATCTTCAGAGTCTTCAACACTTGGTTGTGAGAACCTATTTCTTGGAGCCTTGGGTCTTTATAACTTCAAGTCTTTAGAATCTTTATAATTGTGTCTTCAGAGTCTTCGGCACTTGGTCTTTAGAACCCTTATCTTTTGAACTTTGGGTCTTTAGAAACTTTAGTCTTTAGCATATGGACTTGAGTAGAAAATTTTGTCTTCATATCTTCTAACGGTTTCTTTAGAACCCGTTATCTTTAGAAACATGAGTCTTCAACATCTGGACTTAAGTATAAACTTCTATCTTCAGATCTTCTGACTGGTTTCTTTAGACAAATATCAGAGCTTACACTTTAGAGCCTTATGGAGTGTCTTGCTACTTTTCAATAGAACTTGTGTAGATCAGAAGTAGAACTAATTCTCTTCTAATGTCTTGGCCACGCCATCCATCAGAAGCAGAACCTGTTTGTTAAGTAATCAACAATAACAAACATTAGTATAACAAAATTGTTCACACAAATATACTCATTTGTTATCATCAAAACTCAGATAAAATTGCAGAACCAAATCTTATTCTAATAGTGTTGACGCTTTCTCCAAATATACATGGGTTTTTCCTCTTAAACTCAAATATGATATGTTAATCACTTTCACTCACTTTATCACAGCTATTGAAGTGCAATTCAATACTAAAATCAAAGCATTTCAGGCTGATGGGTGATCAGCTATTTATGTAAGTATAAAATATAACTGCAAGTGCACAACCTATCGTGTAGTTTTTAAAAGATATCGATACAAACAGAGACCAATGGTCAAATATATTATTTCTAGTTATTACAGTGTTTATCTAAGGCGATTAAAGTAGTGGTTGAAAGAGAGACGAAATAAATAAACTTTTGATGAAAACAGATGAATAACAATGCAGGAATGCAATTCACATCAATCAACAATACTCTGATTGTATCTACTAGGATTATTTAAGGGTAAATAATTCCTACTTTGAAAAGAATCAATTTAACGGGAATTGTCGCTTTCGCGTATTTAGAATCGAGTTTACTCCCTAATTTATCCCCGCCAATGTCGCGTATGAAAGATGTTTATCGCGTTAAAGTAGTAAACTTGTTTTTTAAAAATTAAACTCTTAACTAAGTCGAAAAGTAATTTTGACTGGAAAATAGTTTTAAAACCTCCTTCTAGAAATATCAAATCTTCCTAGCTCCTTTTTATCTACTCAATCATCACCCTTACCTCCAAATGCATCTGTTGACAGTTCCACTTCAACATATTCAGCCCAATTTGTGAATGCTTATTCCTCCTCTGAGTCTTCTTCTCAACATATCCTCCCCACTTATGAAATTACCACTACCTTATCATCACCTCATACCCTCTCTCCTACTACCAACACAGAGTCCCCCTCATCATTGGACCTACCTTTTCTGCATTCTGATAATATTCATCCCATGGCCACTAGGAGAAAATGCAGTATTATTCAACCTAGACTACATCTGACTCTATTACTCACTGAAATAGAACCTACATCCTACAAAGGGGACTCAAATATCCTAAATGGACAGTAGCCATGAATGAGGAATATCAACCTTTGATGAAAAATAACACCTGAACTCTAACTCAACTGCCTCCCAACAGAAATGCCATAGGTTGTAAATGGGTTTTCACGATAAAACAAAATTCTGATGACATAATAAATAAGTACAAAGCCAAGTTGGTGGAAAAAGGATTTCACCCACAACATGTCTTTGATTTTGAAAAGACTCACTACAACATTTAGCCTCTCCAACAACAATTGAAAAGCGTTGCCAGAACTCTGAAAATCGTTGCCTAAACAAATAGGGGACGTTTTCTAGGCGTCTCCTGTGCGAGCGTTGCCTATTGTTTGAGGCGACGTTTTTTTTATGTTTTTTAGGCACGCTTTTGAAAAACATCGCCTATAGAAAAGGAATAGGGGACGATTATTTGCGGCCTCTGAGACGACGTTTTTTAAGCGTTGCCAAATTCGGCTACAATTAAGCCTGTCACAGTCAGGATAATACTAACTATACATTTCAAAAGGTTATTTTATCACAGTTGGATGTGAATGATGCCTTTTTAAATGGTATTCTACAAGAGGAAGTGTACATGCAACAACCACCTGGTCTCACATATTCTGACTCCAATCTAGTTTGCAAGTTGAACAAAGTAATTTATGGCCTCAAACAGGCACCTGGGTTCTGGTTTGAAAGGCTACACAATGCTCTTATAGGCTTAGGTTTTGTTTCCAACAGGTGTGATCCTTCCCTGTTTACTCTAGTTACCTCTACATATTATATATATATATATATATATATATATATATATATATATATATATATATATATATATATATATATATATATATTAGTCTATGTAGATGACATTATTGTCACTGGTAACTCTCGTAAACATATAACTCACTTGGTAAAAAATTGAATGATATCTTTGCTCTCAAACCACTTGGTAAGCTGGAATATTTTCTAGGATTGAAGTAGCTCACCTTCGAGATGGCTCTCTTTTTCTATCTTAGACCAAGTACATCAAGGATTTACTTGACAAGGCCAAAATGAGTGAAGCCAATGGAGTTCCAACTCCAATGATATTTCACCTCAAACTCTTCAAGCATGATACTGATCTCCTAAGTGATCCTACATTCTACAGGTCTATTATTGGGGCACTGTAATATGCCACTATTACTAGGCCTGGAATTTGTTTTGCAGTAAATAAAGCTTGCCAATTTCTCTCTTAACCACTTGAAACTCATTGGATAACAGTGAAACGAATACTCAGGTATCTAAGGGGGACTCTTCATCATGTCTTACTACTACAACCAACTTTAAGACATCTACTTCTCTCCATTAAAGGATTTTATGATGCTAACTGGGGTGCTGACACCTATGACAGGAAATCCACTTCTGGCTCCTGCATTTTTCTAGGTCCAAACCTGATTTTGTGGTGGTTAAAGAAGAAGACCTTAGTTGCAAGATCTAGCACTGAAGCTGAGTATAGAAGATTAGCTAACTCAGCTTCTGAAGTTCTCTGGATACAATCACTTCTTACTGAACTAAGAGTCTATTTTACCACTCATGTATTGTTTTGTGACAATTTAAGCACATTTGCTTTGTTTCATAATCCAGTGCTTCATGCAAAGACAAAGCACATGGAGATGGATATCTTCTTCCTCATGGAAAAGGTGCTTAACAAGATTCATGTTGTCCAACATGTGCCCTCATTTGATCAGTTTGCAGATTTGCTAACTAAGCCTTTGTCACCATTGAGGTTTTTGCAAATTAGGGACAAACTGTATGTTCAAGAAAAGAACATTCTTGC